ACCTGGTATTGGCCACTGTCGGAAGACTGGATACTGGGCTAGATGGACCTTTTGTCTGACCCAATACGGCCATTCTTATGTTCTTATGGGTACTGGTATCAGCCCCATGGCTGGGTGCATGACTCCATCTCTGACTCCGATGACAAGTCAGCTTGTGGGGCCATGGGGAGGCAGTACCCCTTACTTCCACTGGCTGGTGTCGAGGGTCCAGGGAATGGTGCCAGAGCAGGGAAGCCTTTGCTGACATCCGCAGGGTCGGTTTCCCTCTGATCAGTTCTGGAGGACCCATGCTGGATAGGATCTCAGGGCAACATGCTCCCTTCTGCTTGCCATCCTCACTGGTGCTGGATCTTGCCCTGCCGTGGTCGGCAGTACCAGGAGTGCCATCAGGTCCCTGGCCATGGCGAATGCCTCCAGGGTGGATGGCACCATGATCCCACTGGTGCCACAATGTCCCCCCAATGTCAGCAGTTGGTCCTGCACCAGATTACTGGCACTTGTGAGCAGGGCAAAGTTGATGCTTGTGGGGCAGGGGCAGAGAGTGGCCCAACACAGGTCGCACCCTGCTGCACTCCCCATGCTTGTCCTTCCTTAGTTCCAGGGAATGTCCCCTTTTGGACCGCTGCTTTTTGTAGTTCTTCCTCAGCACCGGTGAAGGAGAATGGTGCCAAAAGACCCGTGCTGCTGGAGGAGCACTCCGCACCAATGCCAAGGTACTCGGTGCAGAGTCTGACCAGCTTGGCTGTGACGACGGTCTGAGTGCGACTTCCATCAGGAAGTCTCCCTGTCCTTTATTGTACAAGGCTTGAAATGGCGGCAGATCTGGCAACGCTCTCACACATGAGCTTCCTCCAGATACTTCAGACAGTTGGAGTGTTGGTTGCTCACCGGCATGGGCTTGCTGCAGGAGGCACTGGCTTTGAAGCCCAGAGACCAGGGCATGCCAGGCCCCAGGGACAGAGGATGCCCTCTAAACAAATGAGAGAGTCCAACTATTTACACAACTACTAAAAAAAAGAAACAGAAGGCAACAAAACTTGAAAAGAAAGGAGGGAATAACAAGAACCACTCATGAACGCCTTGCCGAAGCAAGAGAAGCTGTTCCAGTGACCATCACGGGCTTTAAGAAGGAACTGAGAGGATGTAGGGCCAGCCGGGCCCCTTATACCAGCGCATGAGCATGCAGCACTATAGAATGCTAGAGACAGCCCGATGGATACCATTGAGGGAAAAATCTCCAGTGACTGCATGCAGTGCGTGCGCACACCTATGATGGAATGGACATGAGCAAGCACTCGACGAAGAACAATCAGTAATTTTTATCTTGTTCTGCTGAATTATTTAAATCTAAAGCACTCTACAAATATTCTCGGTGAAGACTTTGAAAATGTTAGAACTCATGGGAGTGCTAGAAGTTAATAGATATCTTGCAATCAGGAAGAAAAATTCCATTATTTTTTCTTCAGTGCAATAAAACAAGCCTTGAGCATGGCACGGAGGGGGTTGAAGCCTAAAAAGCTAGTTCACAGATGAACTTCATAGAAGTTTGAAACCATAGCCACCCACCTGGGGACCGGGAGGAAACTTGTCACCCATCTAATAAAAGGGAAAACACAAAAGACCTGGTCACTCATAGGACACAGAAAAACTGGTATTTCTTTTATAAGATGATAATCATACTGCTTTTTGCGGCATCCAATGGAATACAGGTCTTATTCTCTTACACACCTCTAAAGTGTCTAGCCCAATGATGGAGCTATAAATAATGACACACAAAAACACTATGTTAAAGTAACATTTTTAAGTTGCAAAGCCAAGCACTCAAAAAATAGTAAATAAGTGGGATGAGACACTTTGCGAGTGGGTTTCATAGATACCTGCTGTCTGTAGAGGAATGGTGAAACTCAGAAATCATGGATTTCATTCAAGGCTCTGAAGGGGACTGTATTCTAGTGCTCCAAAGCAGCTCCTAAATTTCTCAAAGAAGAGGGCACCAGAAATTTTTTTAACATAGTCAAAACAACATATGTTTCACTAGCCTGGTTTTCAGAAACGGTTGAACCATTTTGGCTGGGGGGGAAAAATCAGCCTGAGGCAGACACTCAGCATATAAAATTTCAGCCCAAATGCTTAAAGTTTGACAAAATTATAAGCAACTGAAAACAGAATCTTTATAATAGGAACTGTCAGGCAGTCTTAGTAATACGTGGGACTACCAGCCCCAACTATAATACTCAGATAGCATAAAGCTAGACTGATTATGCAATCTGCCCTGAGTAAGAGATGATACATAAATGCAAAGCCCCCAGAGCAGACCAGACAACAAATTATGTCTCTAAGAGCCATAATTCACTTTCTGTTACACTCATGCTCCTGGACTACAACAACAGATTACTTTCTCCTCTGTTCTGTATCAGCTGTGAGGGGCAGAGTAAAGGCTCTGCTCACAACCCCCTCACCCTCACCCTCCTAATCTCCTCCCACCTGTGCAAGTGTGGGAAGCCTAGGCAGGGGATTGAGCTTAAAACTTTATAAACTCTGATAGCCTATGTAGGCCTATAGGCCAACCTGCAATCTCACCCCCAATAGCTGTCATACTGTTGAGTAAGAAGGTGTCACTCTTGCATAGTCACTTTTCTAGTCATAACTTTAAAATGTTCCTAATTTTATTGTACTAAAACAGTGGCTTCACTTATGAAAACAAATAAAACCTAGATTAGATTACTGTTCACTACTTAAATTCAAACTTCCACAAGAAGGAAATTCAGAATGAGCACTGACATGCGACTGTTTACTGTATGTCCAGACACCTTCCTCTTAGTTTACATCAAACTGATTTCACAAGTGCGCGCCTGTTGAGATGCTTCTCAGGAACAAAGCAGTGGGGACTGAAAATGCAAAGCTGTACAATGTGAAGAACTCTGCACAATACTGACCTGAAATATCAGGTCAATAAATACTTAATGGAAAAATTATATAGATCACTGAGATGATAGACTATAATAATGGATCTGATCAATGTACTATATGTTAATCCCGAAATCACTGAAAGAACACATACTAGCCATTCTAATGTCTTATGTCAGCATTTTGTATTGGCTATTAGAGGGTTGATAAAGATACTATCTAGAATGCATTTCAACAATCTGAAGAACAGCTATTTTTCAAACACTGATATTGGTAAGCTCAGTGTTCTCCCCCACTTCCTCCGGAGGTACTCAATGTCCCTGACAGAGGCCAGGGGACCAATTCTCACACTCTGCCCTTACAGCCAATACTCAAGGCTCATGTTGGGCCACCACGCTGCAAGCTGAGGAAGAGTGAACAGGACCCAGACATGAATGCTGCAAAAGCCCTTCTCCCCAACAGGAGCTGAACATATTCCTTCTAAGGGAGAAAGAACACAGGATTTGGAATCAGCTCTGTCTCCCATGTGGCAGTGCAGAGTTATAAAAAGTCCAACAACAGGTGAGTTTTTAATTGAAACAAACCACCAATACCCTATTTCAAGGTGCAAAATAAAAGCCAGAAAAATATCGGCTTTAGGGCCACAATCCTGCATTTTGATTTACTCCACCTTCCTGGAGCCCCACTTGGTGGACCTCCACACAGGCTAACTGCTGTGCCAATAAGTACCACAATGTAGGACAGGGGCCTTAAAGATTAATCACCACACTAAATGTATTCTATTTGTGAGTCACACTGCAAGTAAAACCTGGGCAACTCAACTAAAAAAAAAATTCTGTAAAATTAAAAGAAATTTGTTAACAGAGAATGTATGTTGTTTCAGCTAAATGTGAATTCTTACTATTGAGCCATAAACCCTAAAAATGGAGGGTTTACTATGGAAATAGGGTCACAACTTATTTTTTTTAAAGATTTTTTTAGATATCTGTGTCGGTACAGCACATCAATGTCACACAAAATACAAAATACTATGAACAGCTTTTGTTAATTCTAGAAAGCACTGTTTCTTTCAGTAAAAAAAAAACCCTAATAGAGCTTCAAGGAGTTGCAAGAGACAACTCCTGTGATTCACCCCTCACCCCCACCCCCCCCCATCAGAAGCGTTGCTTGTTAATCCAGCAGGAAATAACATTTGCCAGGATTGACAGCTGTGGATTTGTATTCAATTCCCAAATTAAAAACCAATGACAGGGTCTAGTTCAATAGAGCTGTCAAGTAAAAATGAAATAAGTAAAAAACCTGCAGCCATTCTCTTGTACATGTATTTTGGATAATGGTAACAGATGCCTTTAACAATGCTACAGCCTGGTAGGGAGATATAATGGCAATAAGGCTGTGAAAACATTTTCTTCTGAAATTATTTAATTCTTGACATTTCTTTAATTCTGAACAGCACAAATATATTCTCCTCTTATTTCTGATTTAATTTATTAAAATATTTTACACATGTAAAAATGTTCATAACAGCGCCAGCAATAAAGTGATATAAAATGTATCCTAATACATATTTCATATGGCCCTGATCTTGCGAACAGATCCAGTGGCACAAACCCTCATGCTGGAGTCCCATCAGTGTAGGCTCAGAGCCCACGTTGTGCAGCTCAGTTTTTAATTAGAATAATGGAAATCAGAGATGAAAAGATCTAATACAATAGGTCAGCTAGCCTATCATCCTGTGAGTATAGGATTGTTTCTTACAATACACTTTCTAGCACTTCAACCACTCAACATTTAAGAGCCCCAAGCAATGGGTTTTCCACCAATTCCCTTGGGGTTCTCTATTCCCCAGTCTAATCGTTTTTACTAGCCCAATTTTCCTCAATTTGAATTTCATCTAATTAATCTCAGTTTATAGCCCTTATCTCCCTAAATAATTCTTCTTCTTTCTTGGTGTTTACACCCTTAAGCAATCGTGGATGGCTGTTTCTCCCAGCTCATTGATTTGGCAAGGAAATTAATTTACCCCTAAGCTATTCTAACAATTGTCATTTGAAAAAGATTAAATACAAAGCATCAACTTGGCTGCTATTTACCTGTACGAAGTGATTCTCTTCAGGTTTGTAATGGGAACGTCATAACCACACTCTTCTAAGACTTCGTTGCATGCAATTTCCTCCAAAGAAAGTCCTGGCTTGTCTACTAAGCCAGCGCAGAGTTCATAGGTCACGCCTTCTGTAGCTGGTAAGGGATCCAATAGAGGACACCAGCTATCCTGGTCTTTACTTTGAAAGTCTTGAGGATGGTGCCGTTCCATTTCACACATGTAAACAGCTAAAAAAATGCAAAAGAAAAAACAACTGTGCGTGGAAAAGTCTACTATTACCCTTACTCCAAGTGAATTTCACCATGCAATTTATAACAAATCCAACTAATAGACATAATAAATCATGTAGGACTACATTCTAAAAGGTGTTCAGCTGCCTGCATTGGTGTGTGTGCAAAAATCACATTAAGACACAACTTTTGCACATTATCACTTTTACACACAAATGATGGGTTTTGTGTGGATACATTCTATGATTTGCATACCAAAGTGACAGGCCACAATAACTACCCACATAAGCGACTGGAGCATGCAATATTTCACACCTTTTGAAAATCTGTTTCCACAATATATCATAAAGGTACACAAGTGCTATGAGATGTAAGTATTTGAAACTGCTTAATTGTGAAGCATTTACTACTGATGGGGCAATCCATAGTTGATTTTTAGTTAAAATGAGAAAAAAATGAAATAGCAGTGGAATTTTTGTTTTCTATTTCATTTCTGTGAAATGGTCCTTTGAACATTAGTTCTGCTTATATTGATATGGATGTCTCATACATGCTACCAAAACTAAGTGCAACTGGTTGAACCCAAAAATCTATTGTTCAAAACAACTTCCATTTGTTGGCCAATGTACATATCAGGGTTTATTTTAATCTATGCATTTATCTCTGCTGGGAAGTTGGTCTGTACATTTTGTACCATGTGCACAATGATGAATCTTTCAGCCTGTCAACTCAGCTGTTATTTGGACAGGGTTATGAAAAGCATGTATGTTTGTTTGAAAAATCCTCTTTTGAACATATAGTTCTTTGCACAGATTCTTGAGTGGAATTTGCAAAGGACCTTTTGCATTAATCTAGAAACAGCTGTCACTGTAATACACTCCTAAAGGAAATACTAAGGGCCAGATTCTACAGTCTTTAGTCAAAACTCTCACTGATCTCAGTGGACATTTTTCCTAAGTAAAGCCTGCAGGATTGGGTCCTAAAACACAGAGAAGCACTACCAAAAATATAGAGCCATTCAAACTTTCTTTTACAGATGTAGCTCTATTTGTCTCTTCTTTGCAAAGTTTCCCATTTTCACCCCCTTTCTTTTATTAACAAATTTGATACAGGAAAAAACGTGATATTTAAATGTTATAAGATATCCAGCATGAAAACTGCTGTTTTATCTAATAATCTGTAACATTTATTATACCTTAATAATGTTTAAAATATATTAATATATAATATAAGTGTAACATGAGTTTCAAGTAAATGATAAACATGCACATTTTTTTTCTAAGTCTCATTCCAAATGTTAAAACTCTGTTACATAAGAGAGTACAAATTTAATGTTAGCAACTGAACTTGGTCCAATGTTTCATTGTCCTTTTTCATCTTTGGTTATAAAGGAATATTACTCCCAAAGAAGTAGCCCACTACTGAGGGTATTTGGCTTAAGTCAAGGAGATCCTGAAGACACATCCTTAACTGGTGTAAACTGCCATAGCTCCGAGAGGTATGACAATTTACCCGAGCTGAGGATCTGGCTTTATTTGTTGGATCTTACTGAGCAAATCTGGGGGAATTTTTAATGTGCTTGCTCCAACATCCAAAATCTGAGTTTGACTCAGATGGTAAATATGGGAAAACATCCAAAACGTTTCTGGGAAAATGCCATGACATGGTTAGTGAGGTCAGATTCCACCAGTCTTGACTTCAGACAAAGCAGCTCCGATACACACAACCGCAGTTCAGCTCAGAATTACTCTAACAAATTTCACTGGTCCGTGACGTGCTTTTCATGGCAGTGAATTTGGTAGAGCCCTAACCATGAATCATTAATTATTAATGATTAATGATCCAGCACGTAGGCAAGATCTGTGGATTCTCAGAGTGGAAAGTCCTAACTATGTGAGTTCCTTGCAGTGCAGCCGTGGCACAGGGAAGAGAGTTGAACTGCCTTAGTCAAACCAGGTGATATTGTTACCCAAAACAAGCCCGTTCAAGTAACTGAAACAAAAGGCTTGCTTGCTCTCCAAGGAAAAAGAGGGGGGAGTTAGCAGTATAGATTTGGAGAGGCTCCTGGAATTTAGCAGATCAGGGCGGGAACTGGTTTGCTGTTTAAACTTCTGATTTCTTTTTGTTTTCACCAATTGTTTTGGGAGCCCTAAGATGTAAAACCTGGCTGGTGACAAGCCTTGGGTGCTATGTATTTTGAGTCACTGGAACAGCAAATACATACAACCCACTGAAAGGTTGTTATACGTTAACTTGAAAATCCCATGGTGTAGGTTTAGTGCTACTAACCCAAGTCTTCTCCAGTTACATACTGTTTAATTGTATTTGGAAAGATGTGGTCCGTTGACTATCAAATTAATGATATCTAGAGTCTATCTCAACGGGGCATCTGTAAGGGACTAAAGTGGAAACCACTTCAGCATTCTTTTAGATTTTCATTTTAGCAAAAGAGTCAACTAGTCCTACCCTCTCATCTGTCTGAGGAGGGGCAGACACATGTATACAACAGTCACACTTGTAGTAGACACACCTAGTGATTTAAACTGCTGCTGATCATTCACAAATTCTCAAATATCCATAGAAATGTGCCCTTCCCCTATCCTCTTTCTGTTGGGATTCTGACAGGGGAGCAAATAGGACACAGAGAGAATCATCACTTAATTTATGCATTTTTACAGACAGCATGGCAGATCAACCCCAGGCAATGGAAATCTAATCCTATCACATATACTCTGGTGGGAGTGGGTATGAGCAGTAGCTGAACTGGAACGTTTGACTGCCCATTTGCATAGAAGGCCAGCCATTCGGAGCACATTCAGGGCCCTCTCTGATCTCTGTGAACATAACATCAAAACAGCAGGCTTTTTGGGAGACTAGGCCCTCTAGAGCCAGCAGAATTTGACATTTCCATGGAGATGGCATATTGGAGGTATCCACTTGGCCAGAACACTTATAGTATTTCATTTATTCAGTTTTCTCTATTCCCTTTGCTTATGGACCAACCTAATTTCATATTATCTAGCAGTTTAATTTGTTTCTCTTGCCATGAGAAATTCATCCTGAAAAGAATCTACATCTCTACCCCGATATAACGTGACCCAATATAACACGAATTCGGATATAACGCGGTAAAGCAGCGCTCCGGGGGGGCGGGGCTGTGTGCTCCGGCGTATCAAAGCAAGTTCGATATAACGCGGTAAGATTTTTTGGCTCCCGAGGACAGTGTTATATCGGGGTAGAGGTGTATTTTATTACACTTTTTAATTTGCAAAAATAATTAACTTTATTATGCATTAGACCTGATTCAAAGACAAAATGTGTCCAGCTCTGTCTTGCATAGTATTAAAAGGCTAATGTGTACATGGAGCCTTGTGCCCTCTGCACAGGAGTGAATTTCATAAAGTCATTTGGAAAAAAGCATCATGAAAGATATTTGCAGTTACAGCTGCCTAAGAATGCCTCAAAGAGAGTATTAGCCATACTAGCAGTTTCTATTTGGTTGCAAATAAAAGACATAAGGATTTTAAATAAGCATATAAATAAATCCTATTCCTTACAATAGGCAACAGAGTGCTGAATGAAAACATGAGCTACAAGTTACAATATTGTTGCATTACACTGAACTGCCTGTCAATCACTATAGGCAAGTGCGGATGGTAAGACACTGCACCAGAAAGTTTCCAATGACATCTACCAGAATGGTCTTGAAACAGTCTCTTAGCAACAGAGATAAAAAGAGAAATATCTTTTAGATTCTCTCTTTTTTTTTTTGGTTAAAACCAACATGCTGAGGAAAAATACATCTTATTTTTAACCTCCAAAAAATAAATACTGTCAGAAGTTATAACAATTGATACAAAAACGCTAAAATTAATTTAAATAGATTCTTTCTTAAGGTATCAACACCTCTTACAAGTAAGAGAGCCAATAATCTACCTATTACATTGCAGTATACAATAAAGCAAAAATATACTTGTGCATAATATATCAATCTTCCCTAATTTTGAGGTTTCTTTTAAATTCCCAAGTATATATTGCCTCACATTAGATAAGATTATATATTTTTTAAAATAAGGAACATAAAACTTAATGATTCAGGGCATAAGCCATCTGCTAATTACCATAGGTCAAGAAGAAACTTCCTAAAGGAGCAGCTTATTCCATAATTGCTCACTACAGGGCTGCTTGCAACTTCCCCTGAAGCATGGCAGTAGCTGAAGTCAAAGACAGACTAATGGACTATCTGGATCACTGGTTTCATCTAGTAAGGCAATTCCTATTCTGTGGAATTCTGATCTAGTGAATAGAGTGGGCTATAGGACAAAGGAATAGAATATGGAACAAAGATTTTATCACCACAACTATCCATACATCCCCCAACTTTTAACTGCTAAACCCTTAATAGCTTGCTTCACTTGAGAGCAAAAGTAAAGCTAAAGAAGAGGATTACCTGGGCGGAACTGCTTCACCACAACAAAGCATTGCCGAGAGGAATTAAATATCAGGATTGAGACACTAAGGAAGAGGGGGGAAAAAACAGATCAATGCACTCTGAATAAACCAGTATGGATTAATGCAGTATTATTAACCTTACATCCCATTAATTTTATTTTTAACTATATAGACATGTATGATGTACAATGCAACAAGGGCCTGATCCAAAATCCACTGATTTCAGTGGATTTAGAATCAGGCCCAAAAACACAGGTGACTTTATCCACTCTTAAGTCACTTTGCAGAAAAAAAAAAGACTAAGACTACAGTTATTAATTATAACAGCAGGAAGAGCTTCCAAAATCAAGTTATTTCTGATATCAGGGACAGATATAGGCTGTAAACCTGGAATCAAATATTCATGGTTGCACCCTAGCACTCGCAAGGAGCCCCACTGAAGTCAAGGACTAAAATTGCTTGTCTATGGCTTTAAAACAGACACCATCAACCTGAAATCTAGTTATTTGCAAAATTAAGTTATAAATCGTTTCAGCTATTACCAGTTTTTTGTGGTTTCACAAATTTTTTAAAGATTTTTCTCCCCTGTTTCTATATGAAAACCTCACATACAAGTGACTAGCTCACCATACTGGGGAAACAAACTGACTCTTCACGGAGTACCGAAAAAGTAGAGAATTATTTTTCTGTCTCTACTATAATGGAAAGAAATTAATCTGAGGTTTTATTTGTAACACACGACAAGTTAACATTTTCAGATGAAAGTGTGATTGCTAATTGGCGTCCCTTTAAAACTCAGAAAAGCAAGTTTATACCACTCTCATCATCATAGTGTCAGCCCTTCATTTGCAATGCCGAGGTGCAGTACATATCACTGGAAAGATAATTTATTATTCAATGAATCATACAGTTCTTCAATTCAGTGGGTTAAGTTAATGATGGAATATTTGCAGGCTGCAGTCAAGTATTCAACAATATTTGAAATGTAATTATGATGTATATACATTTTTACTATGGATTTACTAACACTTGCTACTGTGTTTTTTTTTAAACAACTACTAAGAATATAAATAACTAAAGGGACAACCAAGATACAAAATCTTTATGAAACTTCAGCAGTATTTTAAATTCCATCTTATGTCAAAATGATTATTTAGAGCATTTCTATAACAAGAGTAAGTTATCTATATAGAAATTATTTTAAACTAGACCCTAATGTACATATTGGGGCACTAGATGCTGGAATTTGGCTGACCCCTGTGCAGGGACATAAGAGGGCAAAAACGACTCCTCACCCACACCGATTTTAATCCCATTTGGAAAGATGATATAACTCCAGCAACTAATGCACACCTTCAAATCTACAATGTTGTGCAACAAAGAAAAAAATATCGCCAATACTCCCAGTCATGAAGTCCAAACCTGGGCAAAGTGCACCTTTGTCACTGCTCTTAAAGTCCGTAACTGGGCAAACCCACCTGAAACATCCAAACCATTATGTAAACGCACATTTACAGGACATACGTGGAAATGTCATTGGAGAAAGTTGATCATAGGCCTGCCGCCAGTGAGTGCTGCTGCTCCCATTAGAAACCTGTGTTTGGCTCAGCTGAGGTGATACACAGAGACCTTTATTGGATACTGATGGCTCCTGCCCCAGATGTCATTTGCAGGGTAATTTAAACTGAGCAACACAGCTTTTTTGTGCTATTGTGCATGACTGGATATATTTTTTCTATTTACAGATAGAGATTCTCTCTTTGGTTGAATATTAGGCTATTAGCCAAATATTGTGTAAAGACAGGAGGACTGAATTTAAGTCTGAAGCTGTTAAAGATTTCAGTTTTATATTATGTGATCTTCCACAGCATTGTTCTTTGACCATTTTCAATTTCTCTTTCTTTTTTTGGATACTATTCTGTCCCTATAAGAGTAATTTTTTGTTTGTTTCTCTATTGAACTTCTGTGATAGACTGTACCTCAAAATAGCACCCTAAACCCCAATATTCACCACTGTTATATGATTATGTATTACAATATGTTTTGTACAAAGTATGTCTTGTGAGGTATCATTTGAAAGTTATAATCTGTTGAACATCACTGTTTGGTGAAAATGTATCACTGTATATGAAGTCATGAGATTTTGCTATATGTTTATTACTGAAACATGTTGTTAGACTGGGAAATGCCCATAGACCAGCTCTGCAGTAGCAACAAAGGAGTGACCAATATCCAGCCAGGTGTTAAGCAACCATCACTGGCCATTTACGACCCTTCACCAGCAGGGGAGTTGTAAACAAGAGATTTACAATTCACATGAAAGACAGTTGCTTGAGCACATACACTATGGGGCTGTCTAACCCCCATGACACAGCAAGGATGTTTCAAGCACCTGGAAGAGAGTATAAAATAAGGGACAATGACATCAACACTTCACCTCTCCTTCCCCCACCTACACTGAAGGCAACAAGATCATTCGGAAGACAAAGAAACATTTGGACTGGGGGCAGTGTTCCCAACTGGAAAGGCTACAGACTGTTTTAGGGTTTTGGGGTAAGAGAAACTTTATTACTTCAAATTTGATTTAGCTTGATAAAGTTTAGGAATTAGACTGTGTTTTTCTCTTTTATTTATTTTGTAACCAATTCTGAACTTTTATGCCTATATCACTTATAATCTATCTTTTATTAGTTAATAAACTTATTCTAGTGTTTTATCTAAGCCAGTGTGTTTTTGATTGAAGTTTGGGGAATCTACTTAGGTTAGAAAGGCTGGTGAATGTCCACTTCCCTTTGACGGAATAACAAACTAATTAATGAGCTTTCATTGCTCAAGAAGGTCTTGAGCAGTGTAAAAGGCACATTTCTGGGGTGCAATGCTAAGGCTGGGGGGGGGGGGGGGAGAATTTGCTGGTGTCGCCCTGTATACAGTTCATGAGTGGCTGGGGAGAGGATCTAGGTACTTTGCTGGGCATGCCTCTGCATGCTGATGGCTGAGTGAACAGAGCCTGTAGGGTTTGCTGTTCACTAGCACAGTAGTGTAGGAGACAGCCTGGGCTGGAGAGTTAAAGGGGGCACAGTGGTTCCATAGTCCAGACTGCACCCTGGGGCATGTCACAACTTCCCTTTTATATTGTGGCTACAAAACAGTGTAAGTCACCTGAGAAGTTGAATCAACAATGTAAAGTTAGATGGGATAGTGGAGACCCCTTGAAGGCTAGACTAGCTTCTGAGGTTGTATAGCCTTCCTTACACCCCTAATACACGTCCAACCTTTACTTTGGTTGGGCCTCCTTAGCATCTGGAGAGGAAGATATCATATTAAATAACTTGCATCTACTTAGAAGGATCAGCTATTAGACATTTTCCTAAGATTCAATCATCTGAGATATCTATGGAACAGATGGGAAACTTAAAAACAATCTGTCAAAATTAAGGAACAAGATCAAATTAAACTGGAATGGAATAATACCAAGTTATTACAATTGTCTGTCTCTCACACCATCTTGAGACAAAAAGGCACAGAGATGCCACAGATTTGTAGAACATTTTTCTTCATTACTTTTAATTTTCTCAGAGACTGACAAAATTCTGAACACAATGTTTAATGTTTATAGCTTTTTTAAAATTATGGCAGATGAATTCTAATGTTTCCTTACACAGCTTGAGAGTCACAACCTAATAGGTTAAGATTTAAATCTCTCAGAGATAGATGCGTTTGCTACAATGCGAGTGCAATTTGGTATGATTTTTTAAAAATATATATATGCACACACACACACACACACACACACTGTGGAATGGGCCTAATGTGTTGTAAAGGCAGAACTGTAATAGTCTTTGATTGACCAAATACTGTAACACATTTATATGCATGTTTGATGTTTCATAGAAATTTCTTAAAATAGCATTACAGTTAACCTTGGTTTAAAATAGTATATATACAATATAGACTTTAAATGATAAAAGTAAAAACAGTAAAAATGGAAATGTACACAGCAAACCTTGTGATTAATGGTTGGCAGCATAATACATACAAAATTTACCCAACCCAAGATTTATGTTATGAGAGCAATGAGACAGACCCACAAGAACAGGAAAATTGTAGACTTTCCTTGAAATGTATGAGGTCTGCACAGAATTTAATCTGATAATGACATAAAAAACCCTAGTCTAACAATAGATTTTGTGTGCACACATGGAAAAAAGATGCACTGAATTTATTTTTGTTGTTGTTCCTTCCCTGGAAAATTTAATGGTCATTCCCAAGGAAAACTCATTCCAGGTATAAGATGGTAGCTCCAGAACCAGTCTCCATCATTTTAAAACAAGTTACAGAGTGAACATATGACTAATATACTGCCCTCGCTCACCCTGTGGAAGGAGCCTACAGGAAAAGAAAACTCCTCAAAATGCTCCCAGGATCATTCCAGGAGCAGGCTAGTGTTTGCTTCCCCTCAGAATGAGATACCAAGCCCCACAGATCACCTTGGATCTGAAGGAGGGTTAGGATTCTTCACAGTAACTGTGACTGCAGCTGCCCTAAGGACTAAACTTAGCAGGGAGGAATGGCAGAAAAGGTATCATAATCTAGTACAAGTGATGACCCCGCAGGGTTGGTGGGAGATCGCATGCCCCCTTCAGCTGCTCATGCCAAGTGTCCATTCCCCCTGTGGTTCCCCAGAAGCAAAGCTGTGCAGGCAGAAAATAATCTGTTCCATTTTTGTGCAGGGTTCACTGGGATGGTCTGGGCCACTGGTTTTATTTTTCCATAAATATATGAAAAATTAGTGGTGGCTTTATCATGATCTAGGTTCATTTGGTCCTATCTCTGCACAGGGGACTGGACTTAAAATAAATGATGACTTGGACTCAGTGTTTAAATATGGCATTTGTTCAGAGAGAGACCAATACTGACAGGCCACTAATGACACTTATATAGCACCATTCAGCCAAGAATCTCAAAGCTCATTTCAGTCCACCACTTAATACTCCTGAGAGCATTCTGTGCCAAAAAATTAAAAATGCTGCGCACAATATGAAATTTTTGTCAAATAAATGTGG